GTAAGGGGTTTGGTCCCAATTTGAAAAATTGGGCCTTGGTTGATTAATTGGCTTTTGGGCCTTTTAGATTGTGAGTTTAGGCGTTAATCTTGGACCAAACTAGGTTAAGGGTAAAATGATCTTTTCACCCCAAGTCTGGATTTATGGTTATGGATTGAAACCCAAATACTAATTGGGAATTGTTTTGGTATTGATAGTGTACGGATCTTTCAGTCAGCAGCCAGGGATCATCTATCTGATTCGGCACTGCGAGGTGAGTTTCCTTACTAAGTTTAGCAGGTCAAAGGCACCAATACCGTCCCATAGTTTAAATGTTAGGATGCTTGATGTCTACCCGACTCTCGCATGTGTTATGGATGGTATGCTCACAGTACAAGGCCCGATGCTAAGTGTGGTCTGATATATATTGTATGCTAGTTATTAGTATTTGTTTTTATGCTTACCAAGTGAGGCCCAATGTCGGGTCGGGCTCGATGGCTGTATGGTATGTTATAGTCTTGTGATTATTGCATGTGCTAGTAAGGTTATATTTTATATGATTATATGGTTATATTATTATGTGTGTATCGGTAGGGGCCCAATGTCAGGTGAGGTCTCATGATAGACAGATCTGTAATCTGAGTAGGGCTTGATGCCCAGCAGGGCCCAAGGTCGAGTGGGACTCGAGATCGGGTGAGGCCTGATGGAGGGGGGGGGGGGGGCTCAGTATGTGATTTATGTATGTATGATATGTGGTATCTTGGGGAACTCACTAAGCTTTGTGCTTATAGTTTTCAGTTCATGTTTCACGTGCTTCGGTTTTCAAATGGAAAAGCTCGTGATGATTGCAGAACACACACCACATGTTTCTGCATTCTGTGATTTACTATGATTTGATGATGTTTTGATAAATCTTGGCTACCTTGGTTTTAAGGAAACAATATGTATTAACGATTTATTAATCTAAAAACTAAAATTTTAGGTCATTATTTTCGGACGTTACAGTATTAAAGGTTGTTAATCATAGATTTTGCTTTTGATTTCCTTATTAATCATAGACTTACAAGGTTTCTTAGTCTTGGAAGTCTTATTACACAAAGACTCTCTCTTGTGAGCGTACAGGGATGCAAATGTGAACCTGGCTTGAGTTCATGGAGTATATGTGTGTAGGTATGAATGCACCATTGGTTGACCAGAAAAGTTCAAGGACCTTTTGCAATTTTTTCATAATTAAATATCTATCGGTTATATAGCCATATTAAAGGCAAGTAATCATATATTTTGGTTTTGATTTCATGACTAATTATGCTCTTTAATTTTAACACTTACGTTTTACTGTTTAACATATAGTTATATTTTGTGATATATATATACAACACTTGTGTGACTGATTGAGAAACAACAAATGAACCAATATTTTCTTCCTCTCATCCGATTTTATTTCTACTTCTTCATATTGCTGCAAATAAGATATATTCCCGCATAGCATCGATTTAGACGATCTTCAAGAATCGCTTTTCATTGTTGTATCCTGGAAGTTTTAAGGACACTATGTTGAAGACATACCTCATATTCATAATCATAGACCGCAAATGTGTAATCAAACTTCGACAACAAATCCTATGTTGTTTGTAACGTCCCAAAATATGAAGGTAAAAATTTCATTTTTAAAGCATAATAAAAAAACTTGTTTATCCTTTATTCAAACATTTGGAAGTATTTCAAAATAAAAACAATTATCAAAGTTCATTCCCAAAATCACGAATGGGTGTAGCGATCAAGCCGAGCCCTTCCCTTTCGAACCGGAAGTACATGAAACCATAAACTACAAATTAAAAGCACTAAGCTTAGTTAGTTCCCCAAATACCACATACCATGAATAACATACGAGCCATACATATCATGCATACAATAAGTGTAATGCCCCAAAAATCATGACATAAAAAATTTTGTTTTTAGATTAATAAATCGTTAATACATTTCTTTCTCATGAAACCAAGGTAACCAAGAGTTAGCAAAAACATCATCAAATAAGAATAATTGACAGAATGCAGAAACATGTGGTGTGTGCCCTGCAATCATCCCAAGATCTTTCATTTGAGAAATGGACTACCTGAAACATAAACTGAAAAACTGTAAGCACGAAGCTTACTGAGTTCCCCAAAATACCATATAACACACAACCCAAGAATATCATACAACATACATGTAACTGCCACAGGCTCCCCCGCATGGTCTTTATCTAGAATGACATGGGCTCCCCCAAGGTCGTTGCCTAGAATGTCATGGGCACCCCCACGGTCTGATATCCAACTGCCTCGGGCACCCACCGAGGTCTTCCATGCAAGTATCACAGAGACAATTAGGATACCACATATTATATAACAACTATCATACCACATAACACTTAATGGGCCAGCATTGGTGCCTTCAACCCATGGATATAGTGAGGAGATTCACCTTGTACTGAAGAAGCTCACTGAAAGAATCCCCTAGCTACTACCCTGACGGCTTCCAGAACTAGCAACATCAATAATACACCCAATTAATAATTGGGATCTAATCCATAACAATAACTCCATACCTTGGGTAAAAGGACCATTTTACCCTCAACCTAGCCTTGTCCAAGCTTATGACCCAAACTACAATCTGAAAGGCCCAAAGGCCCACTAATCAAGAAATGGCCCAATTTTCCAAATTGGTCCCAAACTCCTTACATAGCCCTAACTTAAGGCCCAACCATTCTTTCTAGTCCAAACACTTTGTATCCCAATGGCCCACTAAAAACTCAAGCCCAAAATACCAGAAACTACTAGATCCATCAAAGCCCACTAATGGCCCAATTTTCCAAATTGGGCCCAACCCAATACGAGCCTTGTATTAAGCCCATAATTCCCTTAATTACAATTCAGATTATCACAAGTACCCCTTAGGACAAACTTGTTCAAAGACATAAGTCAAAGGCCAAAGTCAACGGTCCAAGTTGACCCAACTCATCGAGTTGTCCTTCAACTCGTCGAATTCCTCCATTAAATGAACAATTAAGAAAAGTTGCATCAACTCACCAGGTTGGCCAGGAATCAAATAGCTTAAAGCATTAAGTCGTTTTCATCAAATCTAGAAGCTTCCATTCTCATATCTCTTCCTAAATGATGACTAGAAGGGTAAAGTTTCTACCTTTGCCCTTAAAAACCACTACAATAAACCCAAAGCCAAATCCTTGACTTAATAGAGTGAGGCTTAACCCATTAATCCCTTAAACTCTCAAAACATAGTCCCAAAACATAGATCTGATATCCCAATGCCGGATTATCACGTGAAATTTCCAACTTTACGTCCATGCATGCAAGAAAGTAACCCTAGAGCCCAAAATGGTTTAATAAAGGACTTAATGCATGGATGGGACCTAGGACTTAGCAAAGCTTACAAGTTTATGACAAGAGAGGTCATAAAATGGTCATATCTAACATACATACCCCTAAAATCCTTAACGTTCGGACAACCCAACCATACAACCAAAAATCAAGCTAAAACATCCCACAAAGAGATATAGAAGGTGATAACACAAGGTTTTGACTTTATACATCAAAAGGACTGTAACAAGTGGAGAGTTTCTGGATCCAAAGCCTTCCTTCCAAATTAAACACCTTCATTCTTCAAACTCCTTCCAAACAACACAAAAATCCAACTCCCCAAGCTCACCACAAGCTCACACACACTACTAGAAAAATAGCCTTTTACAATGTGCAATTAATGACGCGCACTAATAGAGGACGTGCATTTGTGCGTGCCCTATAAATTAATGTTAGTTTTCCAAAATTTGAAGGATAGATAACACGCATTTTTGCGTACCATAAAATTACTGTCAGAAAAAAATACGGAGGGCACCTACAAAAAAATGTGCATTGTATAACTGTGTTGCTTTATATTTTTTTTAAGGAAACACGAGTTTTAGGGGGTAAAATAAAATCCAAAAAATTAACCCCCCGCCTATTCGTCCCAAAAATTCCACGCCTCTTCGAATTAGGGCCTTCGTCTTCACCCACAGCTTCCCCAATTCCTCAATCCATCACCTCCACCAAAAACCTAATTCTCGGTTCCAACAAGTTCTTACACTCTTAATTCGATCCTAATGAGCTGAGGATTTAGGGTTCTTACCTACCAGTTATCAATTTGAGCTGATGATTTAGGGTTCCTAAATCCGACCCTAATTTTTTCTATCTCACTCTCATATTTCCATCTCATCCCTCTCGCTTGGTTCAAAACACGTAAGGGGCAACGAGGACTTATTGTCTAAGACGTTACTGGTGGAGGTGCAGGAGAAGACGTAATGGGAGATGGAGTTTAACTCGGGCAGCGTCGGAGGTGCACGAAGTGGTGGAAATGACGTGGAGTTGTTGTCTAAGACGTTACAGGTGGAGGATAAGTTGTTTTACTTTGATCTCAAGGAGAATCCATGCGGTCGTTACATACAGAGTTCGGAGAAGACGTCGGCAACAAGGTCCACCTTAATCATACCTTTCAGTGGAATCTCTTGGTTCTTTGATATCTTCAACTACTACATCACTTTTGATGACCAAGATATTTCTAGCAAGGAACTTCAGCTTGATAGCAAGGCAATTTATTATATTACACATTACACATACTATACATTCACTTTCATATATATTACTCTGCAAAATGTGGATTGACTTTCCTAGTTTCTTCAAGAATTATCATAGATTTTTCTTTCAAATAACCTTCATATCTGTCAAATTACCTTTCTGATTAGGGTTCTTTCTTTAAGTGTTTTACTTTGACATTGGGGAAAACAGGAGGGGTCGGTTTCTCAAGGTACGCAGTAGTGTAATTATGGTTTCAATATGCTTAAAAACGTGGAAGCTTGTATGTTTCTCTATTTGTGCCTGTATAATCATGTAGGAATCACTTGTGTGTACTTGTATTGCAATATGAATATACCTAAAGAGAATGCAATAATGTTTGTTCAGATTGCTAATCTTCACTAGGGGTATATTTGTCCAAAAAAGATCCTATTTTGATGCCATCACAAGATTCACGGCTGTCTGTGGGTACTATTAGACGTGAGGTTGGGAGTAAAGTAGATGCAGTTGAACAAATTCAAGAGACCCCTCTTGTGATCAAATCGACTTCTTGTGAGAACTTTTTTTTTAAATTTATTTAATCACCATTTTGTTATCATCTTATTTTGTATTTGAAATTATTTTTTATTTAATGTGAATTAATTGTATTTATGAATGGTTAAACATGACAGTTGGTTCTGAGCAAAGGAAGGTGGGACCCAGTGAGCTTCAGGGAGTGGGGAAGAATGTGGTTTCAGAGTCATCTTCACGACCAGGATCATCTTCTCATGTCTCCTTTTCCATTTCCAGGACTTTATCAAATTATACTAATAGGATGCAACTTGTCATCTTTAATTTAATTTTTTAGTAGAGTTGGGAACTAACTCTGTTTTTTTTTTGTTACTTGTAGATTGCTCCTGTTATTCATGAATGGACATATGATGCAATGTGCCATGATTTACTTGAATGGAGGGAAATAAATATGTTCACGTGATTAGTGTAGTGTACATTATTTATTATTATAAAATATTGTTAGTGAAATTTTTTATATTATACGTCAAGTAATTATACTGCTTAGGTTCCAAGCAAAACATGTGATGGTTATAAAAGGAAAGAGGTCCTTTTAGAGGATCATGATCCAGTATGGCTGGAGCTCCAACATTCCCATATAGCAGATGTATGTCTTTTTTAGATTTTTTTTATTTATTTGGTTTTGATTTTTAATAAAATATATAATTATATAGCTTTTGATCAATGGTTCATTGTCAGGCTAGTGTACGCTTGCATGACAAGATGACAAATTTTGTGTCCAGAAATAAAGCTGCTCAGATGCATGGCAAGTCTGTTTATTTGTTTTTTCTAGTATGAATGTGATCAAATGACCATTTTACCCTTACAATTCAACAAACATTTTTAATATTCATGAAATTTAACATGAATATTATGAGATTAAATGACCATGTAAATTGTTGTTGTATACATAAGGTCTGTTTTTTTTTCTTTTTAGAATAAATAAAGTGTCTGAATGAGACTAAATGACCATTTTACCCTTGTAATTCAACAAACATTCATAATTGTTTTTGTAGAGATGGTGGGGAGATGTCTACTCGTGACTTGCAAAAGATGGTTCAAGCATTGCCACAATATAATGAACAAATGGACAAACTATCCCTCCATGTTGATGTAAGTCTCTAGGTTATTTATTTGTTTGTTTTTTTTTTAAATAAATAAATCCATGGTTATGTTGATATAATGGTCAACTATGTCTGATATTAGTTTAACTGAAACAGCTTGCTGGAAAGATTAATGGTATTATCAGGGAGATGGGGCTTAAAGACGTGGGGCAATTAGAGCAAGACCTTGTCTTTGGGGATGCAGGAACAAAATATATCATTAAGTTTCTCAAAGGACAAGTGAGCAAACAGCAGGAATTAATAATTTATTATATGTATTCCACATGTCATGTCCATAATTGTAATGTTGTATGTTGTTGCTTCATGCAGGATGCAACAGATGAACAAGAGATCCGATTATTAATGATATACGTAGCAACTCATCCCGAGAAATTTGAGACTAATAAACTTGCAAAGATATTGGAGGTGAGGATCTTTTTTTTCTTTCTATTACACCATTGTATTTTTGTTATCAAGGCATTGTAGTTTGCAAAATATAACTAATAACATCATTTTTTTAATATTCAGTTAGCAGATTTGCTTCCTGAAGATATGAAGGCAATTTACAATATAAGATTTCTAGAGTCAGCACCAGATAGTATGAACAACTCAAACAGTGGCTTCCCACTAAAATTTGATAATAAGGTTTAATTATACTTGTTGATTCTAATCATAGCATCCTACTTTTATGTTTGACCATGTTTGAACAGTTAATCTGTTTCTCTTTAGAAGCGGTGTGGTCTTAGAAAAGATCGTCCTGGTGAAGAAGCGGCTTGACAGTTATCACGCTTTATCTACCTAGAATAAAAAACCTGATCTACGGATCTAATCTAAAAGCTCAGGTTCAAGATAAAAATGGTATCCAAGCAGAACTTGAAGAAGAAATAAAATTTCAGAAAGATTTGAATAATAATTGGAGTATACAGTTGAATAAAACTCAAGAATCAAATCTTGAGCTAGTTTCTATCCTCCAGGAACTAGACGAATAAATAAAAAAACAGAAATTGGAGATAAATAGTCTCCAGGCATCAGAACAATCAGTAGTTGATGAAGAAAATGTAGAAGATCATACAGGGGTAGAAGTGTCAAGAATCACAACAAAAGACAACTTTAGACTTGAGCTTGAACTGCAGAAATTTCAGGAATCACAAGAAAAGTTGAAAATCCCATGAGAGGTATGATTATGAAATAGAGAAATTAACTTTTAACTTCTAACTATTAATCTTAATTCGTAAATCTTAATCTCTTAATTAAGGTTATTATCTAATTTTTTTAGCTCATCTGCGTAACATCCCATTTATCGATTAAATAAGTAGATAAAGATTTATAAATAAATAATAGTCCTGAATTAAATAATATTGAGCGGGGTGTTGGTGTTGGGGAGCAAATTGATTTAATTATGGATTTCGAGGGTTAAAGTGTAATTTTTGGGCCACTTTGTAAATATTTCTAGAGGTAGGGGCTGGTTGGTAATTGTTGGGACTTGTATTGTAGAGAATTGTTAAATATACGCGGCTGATTGGTAAATATGGTACTTAAGTTGAAAATGTTTTGAGGAAGAGGGACCAAATTTGGAGAATTGGCACAAAATTAGAAATGAGATACGAGACTAACTTGTATCCCTTCCCCACGTCCTGTTCTATTGAAGCAACCCTAAACCTAGAGCGATACACTACAGCCGCCACACCTCCTTCTTGTTCGTTTCCGATCGGATGAAGCCGCCACTAGCTACCTCGCTAATGTAGCACCGCCACAACGATGCTACCGGTCGAAGTCGCCATGGGCGACTGGAAGGGCCACCGTGATCAAAGCGAAGCGAGCTCATCATTCGTGGGTGGAGAACAGCTGGAGAGCCATCGGTAAGTCACCGTAACCCACCTTCTTTCTCTCCCTCGTTATTTTCTGTGGGTGCGATGCTGGGAGCATCATGGCCGACGTCGACAGCGGTTGGCATGCTGTTTCTTCTATTTTTCCTGCAACGTGTGATGCCAAGTGGTGGCTGATTGTGCTTATATTCGATTGTATTGGTTGCTTTCGATAATTATGGTGTGAATTTTGTACATTCGAGGATGAGAACCCACTGCCACCACCTCATGATGGTGGCTGCCATCCATCTTTGCCTTCTGCCGCCCTATGCCACCGCCAACTGCCATGAGAGGTAGTTGTGGGTGTGATTTTGAGTTGTGTTTGAGTGAAATAGTTGCTTTCAGGAATTATTGAAGTTGTATGGTGGTTTGTGTGGTCGGAAAACCCCCGCCACCACCGTATGGTGGTGGCTGCCGCCGTGAGCCGCCACTAACAACTACTACCTGTGGTGGTAGACGGTGGTGTTGACCTAGTGGAATCCTAGTTAGACCAATTACTTAATATTGGATCGGGTTGGCTCGTGATTGGGATAGAAACCCTAATTAGGGTTTAGAAAACCCTAGTTTTGGGTTTGTTGATTTGGGCCTATTGGGGGACCTGCGTTTGGACAAGTGGACTGAAGATAAACTCATGATAGATTTTTTATATGATATATTAGTGGAATAATGGACTTAATGGGTTAAGACCTTAATGGGTTAAGTAAGAAATACTTAACCCTAATCGTTAATTTATGTGAAAAACCCTAATTTCTACTTGGGCCTTGCGTTGGGCCTTCCTATTGGGCTTTGGGGTTTGGGCCTAATCTGGAAAATTGGGCCATGCTTGGGCCATATGGACTTGAGTTATTCATGAACCAGGTTGGTGTACGACATTTAAACATAGTATGAGAAGGTTAGTTTTAGATCCTAATGGGGTTATTTGTGGGTTTGGCTCAATGATAGAAGTCGGAGTATAGCAGCAGCATTTATAGGATCTGTTCGCCATACGAGCTAAGTCATCTCACTATACTTTACCTTGAGTGGTAGTTATGTGTGACTGGAAGGTCTTATGTGCTTACGTTGAGTATTATGTTATCCTGTTGTATGTGATATGCTATGCATTATGTCTTTGTGATATATGCTATGCGGAATTTATAGACCAAACCGAAGGGTCTAACGATTTATGAGGCTGGAAGGCTTAAGCAGACCGGACCGGAGGGTCCAACGAGCTTAGGACCAGAGGGTCCATAGAGTTAGGGCCAGATGGTCCACAGAGTTAGGATCGGAGGGTCCACAGAGTTAGGACCGGAGGGTCCATAGAGTTAGGACCAGAGGGTGCACAGAGTTATAGCCTTGAGTGGCTAATATATGTTATATGTGGTATATTAGGGAACTCACTAAGCTTCGTGCTTATCGTGTTATGTGTTATATGTTTCAGGTACTTCTCGGGATCACGGGAAGGCGACGGTTCGATTGTACACACGAATTAAAGAGTTATCTTTTGGAGGATCCTGGATTATTAATCAAACAATTATGAAATTGTCTTTTATTAATTTGATGATTGGGATTTTGTGAAATGTTTTATGAGAATTTTTGTAATTTAAAAATGAAAATTTTATATTTAAATTTACGTCGTTACAAATTGGTATCAAAGCCTTGGTTTGAGAGATTTGGATGCACCTCCGGGTGTGTTAGAACTCAAACCAGGGAATTAAGAATGATTTTCAAAAGAGATAAATTTTTCTAAAAAAGAGAAAAAGTTCAAGAGAAAATGAGTTGGAGCAGTGTGTACAATCAGCCAACGCCTGAACGGTGATTTCCCAAAATACCCTTACGTTTGTATTATGAGATATTTATGAGATATGCTATGACATATTATGCATGCTAGAGATAGGCTATGTATTTCATATGTTAGGACTAGAGTGGCCTGATTTGTGATGCCTTAGCCTAAGAGTTGTTGATATATGTGATGTGCTTTCGAGCATGTGCTAAGTAAGAGTATCCAGCAGGGATCCTTTTAGAGAGGGATTCGAGTAGCGGAGTAATCTAGGAGAGATACCTAGATGAGCATTTGCGGAGCCTATTGAGAGAGTAGTTAGATACACGCGAGGGGTGGAGTTGCTGAGTTCGGTGATATATTTTGAGTGAGTAGAGCAAGTGGAGTTATCACCTGGAGTGGGTTTTACGTGTTTATTCGATGCCTGAATGTTGCTTGCTTCGTGCTTTGTGGAACCCCCGATGATGGGAGTCAACTAACAAGTGAATGTGACGATATTCAGGAGGTAGATAACTTGCAACATTAGGAGTTTCTCAGCAACTGATGGCAAAGAAGTGTGAGAACCTAGGAAGAGCCTAGGAAGTGACTTTAGTCAGATGGGTACGCTGACAGAGTAGAGCAATTTGCTAGGAAGCAAGCATGTGTGTCGAGACTGGTGATTGAGAGGGTTGAGCAGCTACTTAGGGACTCTGGGATGGTCCGTGCAGAAAGTATGGGTAGATGTTGCAGGTAGTATGGGCCCGTACTACTGAAAGCAGAGGACCCATACGCGATGTACGGAGTATTCCGGAGAATCTAAGTAGAAGATCGATAGGTGATGTCATGGTTTGAGTACCATAATTTGTAGCAGATCGAGAGGTAATGTCATGGTTCAAGTACCATGATTTGAGGCGGATTGAGAAGAGAGAACACGGTTCGAGTACCATGATTCGTGGCAGATTAAGAGGAGGTAACATGGTTCGGGTACCATGATTCATAGCAGATCGAGAGGTGGTCACATGGGTTGAGTACCAGGACGCGTAGTGGTTAGTGCTCCTGGTTTTACTGGTTATTTTGTGGTGATCGTCTAGACTGAGATCATATGTGAAAGAGTATGGGGCTAGAGGGCCATGATGAACAAATTTTAGTGGAGCATCCATTGAAAGGGAAAACGAGTTAACTCCGAGGGATTGTTGGTGAGATGCCAGTTGGAGTCGCAAGACTCAGGGATGAGTAGGGATGGTGCGTTATGGGAGAATACAGTCTGGGATGAGGGACCGGCCGATGGTGGAGATGTCATTTTTTGTGGCCTGAGCGGCTCTATTTCCGTTTCCAGCAGGGAACATAAGAGGTGTTGAGATTTCGGTTTCTGAGGTTGGGGGTAAAACCCTGCAAGTTAGCATTGATGGTGACCTTCCATCAGAGTATTTGGGTAGTATGTCTGCTGAGAGGTAATGTTAGAGCATGATCAGGTTGTCAGTGGGCACTGAGATGGTAAAGGACAAGGATACACCATATTTGAGCATAGTAGGGCATGTATTAGCTGCAATAGCAGGCGATCAAGAAGATGATACTGGGCGGTGGCTCTTATTGTCTATGAGGAGTATCAAGTATGGTAATGAGGGCTCCGCTCTTATTACAATCCACATGATGGGACGTTGATTGAAGAATCGAGGATAAGGAGTATGATAGTTCATTATTTCAGATTAAGTGTTAGAGTTACTACTAAACAGTTGAGATGTCCGGTAGTAGGATGATACGAGATTCTGAATGACTAGGGGTAGTCATGATGAGAAGTTTCTGAGGATTTTATTTGAGATTCTGGTAATTGGACTTGCTCGATCTCCATCGGGGGGATCATTGAGCATTGCGTATCACCTTTCAAGAGTAGGTGCGATGTTACTGGTAAAAAAAACAGTCTGTGGGATAGAGTGTTGGTGAACCAATTGGTGATGGTTCGAACCCTGAGTGGGGGAGGACCGAGTGCTTTTAAGGAGATCAGAGATATGTTGAACAGCGGTTAGATAATTGGATATAGAGACCTACGGTGCAGATTCTAGAGACCAAGATTATTGATGGTCAAGGCAAAGTGCAGAGCGAGATAGTGCATGTGATACGTGTTCAAGAAAGGATGATTGTCTGTACGATAGGTGGCCATTAGGCAGAGGCCTTGTAGTAGGTAAGAATTTTTTTTGTGAGGTGGTCGGTTCGATGAATGTATTGTTCTATGCTCTTTGGAAAGGGTAAGAGATGGTCGTGCAACCAGCTTCAGAGTCGGTATGAATATCCTTGCAGAGGTTTGAGCGACAGAGGAGGGAGTTTAGGATTGTTGACATTGTGTTCTCAGTCATCGATGACTTCTCTGTGTTTCAAGTTGAGGATTGGGATTTTCGAATTTATAAGATGTGTGAGAGAAAGATCAGTTGCGAGATTCCGATAGTACATTGCAGTATCTGAGTATCATGCCGTGAGTAGGAGATCAGTGGTGGGGGGGGCAAGACATCATGAGATTCTGTGATGGTGTGCCGAGAGATTCGGGTATGATGTCCTAAATATTGGTTTATTTCGAGTCTTGAGTTATGAGATGACGATTGGTGTATCAAGTGTCTATGGTTCCGGTGGGGGACCCTTCATCTAATTGAAATCAAATAGATTTATCTGAGAATGTGAATTACAGCGAGAAAAAGAGGTTTTATCACGACGGTGGTCGTCCAAAGTAGTGATGTTTAGCCTGGATAGGTGTGTGTACCTATTTATGTTGGGCCACAGAGCACGAGTTAATGATCGTAGTGTGGTGTCAACCTGAGGATGAGATTGTGAACTGATAAGAGTAAGTGCGGTATGACTGCAGGGAGCTGCAGCTTCAATGAGTCAGTGCAGAGAGGTTGTGGTGTTGCTACAGTGAGTCATAGTACTCACTATTCAGTGAGGGGTGTGGTGATGCTATGGGGAGCCATAGTACTCACTATTCAGTGAGGGTGTGGTGATGCTACGGGGAGCTGTAGTACTCACTATTCAGTGAGAGGTTGTGGTGATGCTACGGGGGAGCCGTAGTACTCACTATTCAGTGAGGGGTGTGGTGATGCTACGGGGAGCCGTAGTACTCACTGTTCAGTAAGAGGTCATTGTGATACTGCGGGGAGCCATAGTACCCACTGGTCAGCGAGATAACGTTGTGATGAAGTGCTCTCTGATCAAAGCTTGATGTAGAAAAGTTTTAGGCTTGGGTAGCCCTAATAATTGAGTCTTTGGGAACCTGGTGGCAGGGGCAGGGGTGAGACTGTGATCTCAATGATGGTTGGGATCCATTATATATCGAATTGAGTAGAGGTTGTGGCACATTAGAGGGAATCGGATAAGTAATGTACGTATAGACTCGTAAAGCACGGGTCGTGAGTTGAGTATCAGACTGGATATGAGTGGTTCCAATTTTGCTGTCGAACCAGACTCTTGAGTTTCAGGTAGCCCTATCTATGTAAATGATAGATGAGTTGAGATTTCATATTCCTGATGGGTTTCATTTTGAGTGATTTATGGTTTGCATCTGATGTTCTAGACCCGGGAGGGTCGACTCAATTAGTTTGAGAATGACCACAACATTCATGGATTTAGTGAGTATTAGACGACAGAGGTCAGAAATGATGTGTGCCTATAGATTGGTTGAAATATTACTTGGAGTAAAGTGAACTTAGTGATTGCAGGTAATGTGGTTGCTTAGGATAGCTCTGTTGGATTGAACAATCGGGGTTATACTCGGGCTTGTGGCCATGTCATTGAAGTTGTCGGGCATGTAAGGGATGATGAGGAATGATTTCGAGGATGAAATCTAATTTAAGTGGGAGAGAATTGTAACATCCTGTTTATCGATTAAATAAGTAGATAAAGATTTATAAACAAATAATAGTCCTGAATTAAATAATATTGAGCGGGGTGTTGGTGTTGGGGAGCAAACTGATTTAATTATGGATTTCGAGGGTTAAAGTGTAATTTTTGGGCCACTTTGTAAATATTTCTAGAGGTAGGGGCTGGTTGGTAATTGTTGGGACTTGTATTGTAGAGAATTGTTAAATATAGGGGGCTGATTGGTAAATATGGTACTTAAGTTGAAAATGTTTTGACGAGGAGGGACCAAATTTGGAGAATTGGCACAAAGTTAGAAATGAGATACGGGACTAACTTGTATCCCTTCCCCACGTCCTGTTCTATTGAAGCAACCCTAAACCTAGAGCGATACACTACAGCCGCCACACCTCCTTCTTGTTCGTTTACGATCGGATGAAACCGCCAACAGCTACCTCGCTAATGTAGCACCGCCACAGCGACGCTACCGGTCGGAGTCGCCATGGGCGACTGGAAGGGCCACCGTGATCAAAGCGAAGCTAGCTCATCATTCGTGGGTGAAGAACAGTTGGAGAGCCATCGGTAAGTCACCGTAACCCACCTTCTTTCTCTCCCTCGTTATTTTCTGTGGGTGCGATGCTGGGAGCATCATGGCCGACGTCGGCAGCGGTTGGCATGCTGTTTCTTCTATTTTTCCGGCAACGTGTGATGCCAAGTGGTGGCTGATTGTGCTTATATTCGATTGTATTGGTTGCTTTCGATAATTATGGTGTGAATTTTGTACATTTGAGGCTGAGAACCCACTGCCACCACCTCATGATGATCCCTGCCATCCATCTTTGCCTTCTGCCGCCCTATGCCGCCGCCAGCTGCCATGAGAGGTGGTTGTGGGTGTGTTTTTGAGTTGTGTTTGAGTGAAATAGTTGCTTTCAGGAATTATTGAAGTTGTATGGTGGTTTTTGTGGTCGGAAAACCCCCACCACCACCGTGTGATGGTGGCCGCCGTCGTGAGCCGCCACTGACCACTACTACCTAAGGTGGTAGTGGGTGGTGTTGACCTAGTGGAACCCTAGTTAGACCAATTACTTAATACTGGATCGGGTTGGCTCGTGATTGGGCTGGAAACCCTAATTAGGGTTTAGAAAACCCTAGTTTTGGGTTTGTTGATTTGGGCATATTGGGGGCCCGCGTTTGGACCAGTGGATTGAAGATAAACTCATGGCAGTTTTTTTATATGATATATTAGTGGAATAATGGACTTAATGGGTTAAGACCTTAATGGGTTAAGTGAGAAATACTTAACCCTAATCATCAATTTATGTGAAAAACCCTAATTTCTACTTGGGCCTTGCGTTGGGCCTTCCTATTGGGCTTTGGGGTTTGGACCTAATTTGGAAAATTGGGCCATGGTTGGGCCAAATGGACTTGAGTTATTCATGGACCAGGTAGGTGTAACATGTTTAAACATAATATGAGAAGGTTGGTCTTAGATCCTAATGGGGTTATTTGTGGGTTTGGCTTAGTGGTAGAAGCTGGAGTATAGCAGCAGCATTTATAGGATTTGTTCGCCATACGAGGTGAGTCTTCTAACTATACTTTACCTTGAGTTGTAGTTATGTGTAACCGGAAGGTCTTATGTGATTACATGGAGTATTATGTTATCCTGTTGTATGTGATATGCTATGCATTATGTCTTTGTGATTTATGCTATGCGGAATTTATAGACCGGACCGAAGGGTCCAACGATTTATGAGGCCGGAAGGCTTAAGCAGACTGGACCGGAGGGTCCAACGAGCTTAGGAATAGAGGGTCCACAGAGTTAGGGCCAAAGGGTGCACAGAGTTAGGTCCGGAGGGTCCACAGAGTTAGGACCGTAGGGTCCATAGAGTTAGGACCAGAGGGTCCACAGAGTTATAGCCTTGAGTGGCTAATATGTGTTGTATGTGGTATATTGGGGAACTCACTAAGCTTCATGCTTATCGTGTTATGTGTTATGTGTTTTAGGTACTTCTCAGGATCATGGGAAGGCGACGGTTCGATTGTACACACGAGATAAAGAGTTATCTTTTGGAGGATCCTGGATTATTAATCAAACAATTATCAAATTGTGTTTTTTTAATTTGATGATTGGGATTTTGTGAAATGTTTTATGAGAATTTTTGTAATTTAAAAATGAAAAATTTATATTTAAATTTACATCGTTATAGTTTGTCTTCACCCTATTCATAATTATGCTATTATTGCATATGACCCTTCTACCCTTGGAGCCACTGGTGCCTTAGTTGTACGAGCTGTTGTACTTCTTCCTTGTAGGAAAATTTAGATAATCTTATTGGTGGCCATTTTTCCGATGAAAAAGGATCGTAACACTTATGGAGAATTGTGTGTAAACATGTATGAGTACTGATCATAGCACTTATGGAGAGTACTGTTTATATATCTTTCACACCACACATCTCTATGAACACAGTATAATCTATTTTTGTATCTTTTTTTCCTCTCCTCCTAAATGTTGCACAATCAACCAAAAACCCTATCTTTATATTTTTAAAATTCAAATCTTTTGATTTCCTTTTCTTGAATATAAGAGTCTGAATAGCATAGTAGCAGATCAGATGAATTCTTGTTGTTGTTCACTTACCTGCACTAGAGATGGAACAAGCGACGCCCTTGCTCTACATGAGGTAATAATTAAAGCTCTTTCATGATTAATTTAATTATTTTTTCTGTATTTTTATGATTTTTATTTTTTGAAATTGATATTGTAGGATGATATTAGTCTTGCTATGGGCATCCAAGGAACTGAAGTTGCAAAAGAAAGTAGTGATATCGTTATCTTGGAAGACAATTTCGCTTCCATTGTAAATGTGTGATATCTTCTGTTTCTGATCTTTATGTTGGTATAGAAAACACTTCAAAAGTATTATTATTATTATTATTATTATTATTATTATTGTTATTATTATTATTATTATTATTATTATTATTATTATTATTATTATTATTATTATTATTATTATTTGAGATTAATGTGTTTCTTCGGCATGCAAACATACAAAAATTTATTCAGATCCAACTCACTGTAAATGTGGTTGCCTTTGTGATTAATGTTGTGGCAACTGTTTCTTTAGGGGATGTCCCCCTTAATGTAGTGCAAGTCTCTTTTTCTCTCAATCTTGTCAAAATATCAAAGATCAATAATAATATGATAAAGGCAACTTACTTTGTATCATTGTACTTTGATTGAGATAAACCAAAGAAATTTAATATATGAATATTTCTTTTCTCGATAGTGTTGCTCATTTATTGGAGTCACGTGGAATGATTGATGAAGCTTTAGCAGTTGCTACAGGTCCTGATTATATATTTGAACTAGCTATTCAGCTTGGTAAACTAGAGATTGAGAAGCTAAGCAAAAGATATTCCAATACTTGACTTTATGAATTATAATTAATAATAACATTTGTTTGTGCATATAGGATATCGTGCTAGTAGCACAAAGTGAGTTGAAATGGAAGCAGTTGAGTGAATTAGCAATGTCTACTGGACTAGTATGTGTCATTTTCAATATATTTATTTTTGGTTTTAGATAAATAAATCTAAAATAATAATAATTTTTAAAACATTGCAGTTGGAAATGGCTAAATTGCAATGTAGCTACAAGACCATCTAATAAAGCAAGGTTGGTGTAATAGTTGATGACGATAACATTGTTCCAAGACCTTCAGTCAGTTATGATGATGTCACTTAATAGCAATGTAGTATTAGGTTATATAGTTAGGGATGATTATTTGTATTTGACATGTTAGTGCAATGGTTTATCTTTCTTATTTATTGTATTTTATTTTGTATTTTGTATGACATTAACTTTTGTGCAATGGATTGTATTTTTTGTAAATGGTATTTTATTTTCTATTATGAGACATGAAATGCAAATTTAATTTGAAAATTAGTAAATCTATAAATAATTTTTTTAAAAAAATAAAAATTACGATACGCAAAAATGTGTGTCATCTTCATTTATGACATGGCCTTTCTTGATAGTGACTTTATTGATACGCATTGCGTGTCATAAATGCGCGTCGTCTCTAGAGGACGCGCAAAAGCGCGTCGTCTCTCGTTTTGACAGGGCCTTCCTTGACACGCATTTGCGCGTCGTCTGAGCGTTGTACGACGTGCAATGAGCGTCATAAAAGGCTGTTTTTCTAGTAGTGACACCAACCTTAAAGGATAATACATGAAATTAGAGTTTTTTGGACAAGGAGGCCAGCTAAGGGATTTAAGGTCTTTAAATAGGGTGCAAAATGCTAAAATTAGGGTTTTCTCAAACAGCGTCCAACTCATCGAGTTCCCTACACCAACTCGATGAGTTGGTCCTTAAAAACGTGCGCCCCAACAGCTTCCAACACGTCCAGTTTATGCCATAAACTCGATGTGTTGGCCCTTAAAAGGGAATTTATTTCCATAATTGACCTTCTAGATTTCAGATGTTACAACCCTCCCCGACATAAATTAGATTTCATCCTTGAAATCGCTCCTTATTAACACTCATAACAAAACAACCAACCTGATGATCATAAACGAAAATTCAGCACACAAAATAATCTTCCCAAGGCAACTGGAATTAACCCTGGAAGAACGAACCTCAAACTCTTTCAGAGAAACTACCTTTACCTTTCGTGACACCCATAGTCTCAAATTGCTCTGGCTTCCTAACAGCTCAACCCTTCTGAACCACTATCAAATAATTCTATAACAAAACCAGACTATGCAAAATACTTCCAACCCAAATTATATTGATGCTTTTAAAGGACCAAAATCATCGATCATAACGGCCAAAGAACTCTTATACTTGACAGAAGGCTTAGATAATCCTCCGAGTAAAAGATTCATCCTTACAACAGTTTGACTCGGACGAGAGCTACGCAACATAGTCAAATACATCACTCTAAGATTATTTAAACCCCTGCAAGTGACTTAGAATTTCCCCATCAACCAGCTACTTCACACTCACAGGAAACTCAAATCACAAATATTGGTTGAAATGCTGATACTGCCAAAAACAACATGCTACCTCCTAATTGCTTTCCAAAATCCATCGAGACCATCGTGGTCCCAACGTTTCTGTCAGCTATCTAAATCACTGGGCGCCTACCCGGTTACGGAGTCAAGAGACGTACAAACGCGGTAGCCCTATGCAACTTCTGAAAGAAGATCTCGACTGAAAAAAACTGCCCTAAGACACCTCACCATCAAATCCACTTCCCCTTATTTCGGACACGCTATGGTTCCTCCACATATAGTATCATTCATAGCCACAACATATCATCATACTAAACCCATTCCTTACTCTTGAACCCTGCGATTGATGCCTTTGGCATAATGACACCCTAAATTTTATTACACTGAAACAAAACCTTGCACAGAACGTGCACAATACCCAACTCAAGATTTTACCCATAACCGATTCGACACCCCACTCATAACCCAACATCTACAAATTTGCACCTGCATTTCACACCACAACCTTATGATTATCAACCCCTTTACCTAAACGATAAATAGGTATACCCAAACCATCTCCGAGACTTTCACTCTAGCACCTGGCCTAACCACCAAGTTCCAAACCCTTGACTCAATAGTCACTACCAGTTCCAAACTGAATTTTCATAATCACCAGGGCTCACCCGTGGACCCCAAAGACCCTCAAACTAGAATAGAGAATAATTCCCTAACAACCTTGGCCGACTAATTCCCCTTCGATGCTCGTGACCATCACATAGATAGTCTACTTCAAACTGATGAATGATATGATCCTATTGCAACCTTACATTACTTCCATCAAACCATGCTTACCACCCATGTCCTCACCACACTCAAACCATCACAATGTCACACACCTCCTAATCCAAATCCTATATCCCATCAGGACTTTAGGTCATGCCTACGAATCCCCACTGCCTACTATACATAATCAAGGCGATGCCGACCGGAAATTGGGAGTTTCCTAAACTCCCACCAACACAACCTAGGCCTAAGCAGCCACTGATTTCTCCGCCACTTGGACTCGACGATCCTCTCTCACCTCCTATACCTTATGACTCTCCGGTCCATTTCAATTAATTAGCACGAACCACCGAAATCCTGCGCTGAACAATACGAGCGCCACATTGCTAGAAAAACACAATGATCACTTAGCTCTTGGAAATCCTGAAGAATACTCTTGTAATCTTAACCAATCAGATAATCCCAATCACTTCCCATGATACCCTTTACTGAAGAAATCCCAGAGCAATTACATATTTGCCACCATCTTACTGTTGCCTAGGGACCAGTGAATGCTACGAGCCACCCGACAGTCTTACAACACTCTTTCCCCACCTATTCACTATGGATCCCCCGTAGTCTTACAACACCATCGCTCCAACTAATCACTAGTGAATGCTAAGGCTCCCCCGCAGTCTTACAACACTTTTGCCCCACCACAACTGCCCAAGACCTTACCACCGATCAATCCAATCCGACATACCCAAAGTCGAGTACGCACTCAATCAAACACCTAATTTGAACTCAAACATGACTGTAAGCCCAACCTGATTCCCTAAATCCTGCTATCAAGCACCAAGAGGATGTGATTCACATGTTTGGAAGTTTATCGAACTCCCAACTCACACAACTCTCAAATCAATAGCCACTTGGGGTGCCTTCCTCCCCAACGGGGATGCGAAACTCATCCTAGCTTCATAGCCACTCCTGCTCCTGAATACCTAAACGATTCTCCCCCACTTTGATTTGATTACATTTTCACGGCATATGGGAATTGAAGGATTCCCAATCCTTTTTACCCTCTAACGATCTGCTGACAACCACTGCTTACCAATGCGGGTGTTCCATTACTACACATCCCAAAAGACTGCACATTCCCTGAAGATCCACTAAACACTTCCCGAATCCCAAAAACACTAAAGATGATACAATACCCAACAATTGCAACCCTTGAAACTGTTGCCTAAACCAAAACCTTAGCAATGGACCACTTCCCTAATCGCCCCCAATAGCTAATCAACATGACTAGGAATACCATAGAACCCTAATGATATTGGAGAATTAACTCGCTGAATTCTAACCATAAACCCTCCACACAAAGCTCCTAAACCAATCTCGACTACCATCCAAAATGAGACAGAATACTTAGATCTTGTTATACGAGAGATGGCCCTTCAATAACCAACTAATGATTTATGGCAGGCAAAAGACATACAACAATTCTTGGAGATATAATCCACAACAACAGGGAATGATACCTAATATATTGCTCACTCCAACCAATAAAACACTATAAGAAAAATAAATACTGATAGCAACTGAAGGAAAACAAAGAATAACATACCCGTAATATCACCTGCTAACATGATCAAACCTGCAACGCTTGTGGCAACCCATACTCCTAAAACGACAAACTCTATCGTGCAGTTTCTCGCACGTACCATACTGACTCAGACCCTAATGGCCTCTCAATGCAAATCAGAAACCTTTGGTCTCTCTCTGGAACCCTCTGATACATATGCACTTGATCTTTGATAGGCAAGAAACGCACCTGGCCTTTGCCTCCTTGGCAAAAATTCATCCTGAACGCGTTAGCCATGACCGCTAACTACTTCCTACTGGTAACGTGGTCCCTTCCTCCATCGAATGCAAGAGATCCATGGGAACGAACTCTCAGAAACAAGGAATGTGAGCTCCAATGATCGCCACAACCTCATCATGGAACGCTCCTAAGTGTTCATCCTAGATCTCCAAAAACTGTTCCTTGACCGAACCATAGATTACAAGAGTCTTCTTCAAAACACCATAGCTAATCTCCTGACGAAATAAATTCATGTGCTCACCAATCAGCTCAGTACCCTTACCTGAGCCGGAATCAAAACTTAAACCTCCTTCCTGGAAGCTCATCACCAAACCTATAACATCCGGACTTCCAAGTATATTGTTTATTTATTTATTTATCTATTTTAAGGACTATTAAGCTACGCGATGAGTCGGTGCTCCAACTCGTCGAGTAGAGTCGTGATGTGCCATGTGGGATTAATGACCTAGTCAACGAGTCTGAGAGCCGAATCGCCGAGAAAACGCTGGGATGGGAAACCCTAAATCCTCAGGTTTGGGGCCTATTTAAAGGCACTTGTAGCCTCATTTCCGACTATGCTTCCCTGAGAGAAACCCTAATCGCCCTTTGAGCTTAAAGAGAGAGAGAGGGGGAGACAGGGGGAGAGAGAGTGAGAGAGAGAGAGAGAAAGAGAGAGAAAGAGAGAGAGAGAGAGAGAGAGAGAGAGAGAGAGAAAAGAAAGAAAGAGAGAGAGAGAGAGAGAGAGAGAAAGAGAGAGAGTGTGTGTGTGTGTGTGTGTGAAAGAGAGAGAGAGAGAGAGAGAGAGAGAGCTAACTTTTAGTGTTTTGGTGTATCTTTGGATGAGAAGAGAAGGATTTCAAGCAAGGAGCAAGAGGAGGCTGTTAGATCTGTTGTTATTCATCCAAGAGCTCCTTTTAAAGGTATAAAGTTAGAACCTTTCTCATTTGTTTGGATAGATCTCATATTTTTGGAGATTAGGGCTTCTTTTCTACATATTATTGGGGCTTTGAGGGTATTGAGTTCATATGGAAGTTTGGACTTCATATCTGGACCTTGTGAGGTCCCGAGAATCCAAAGGTCCCTGCTTTATCCACCCTTAATGGAACCCTTGAATGAAAAAACCTTATTAGAACTTTTTCTTGGCATTTCAAGCCCAAAGTGCCATGCATGGATGTAAAGTTTGTGACTT